TATCTGCAGTCTCTGACCATCTCCTGTATCATATCTGCAGTCTCTGACCATCTCCTGTATCATATCTGAAGTCTCTGACCATCTCCTGTATCATATCTGCAGTCTCTCTTCATCTCCTGTATCATGTCCGCAGTCTCTGACCATCTCCTGTATCATGTCCCCAGTCTCTGACCATCTCTTGTATCATATCTGCAGTCTCTGACCATCTCCTGTATCATGTCTGTAGTCTCTGACCATCTCCTGTATCATATCTGCAGTCTCTGACCATCTCCTGTATCATATCTGCAGTCTCTGACCATCTCCTGTATCATATCTGCAGTCTCTCTTCATCTCTTGTATCATGTCCGCAGTCTCTGACCATCTCCTGTATCGTATCTGCAGTCTCTGACCATCTCCTGTATCGTATCTGCAGTCTCTGACCATCTCCTGTATCATATCTGCAGTCTCTGACCATCTCCTGTATCATATCTGCAGTCTCTCTTCATCTCCTGTATCATGTCCGCAGTCTCTGACCATCTCCTGTATCATGTCCCCAGTCTCTGACCATCTCTTGTGTCATATCTGCAGTCTCTGACCATCTCCTGTATCATGTCCGCAAACTCTGACCATCTCTTGTATCATATCTGCAGTTTCTGACCATCTCCTGTATCATGTCCGCAATCTCTGACCATCTCCTGTATCATATCTGCAGTCTCTGACCATCTCTTGTATCATGTCCGCAGTCTCTGACCATCTCCTGTATCATGTCTGCAGTCTCTGACCATCTCTTGTATCATGTCTGCAGTCTCTGACCATCTCCTGTATCATGTCTGCAGTCTCTGACCATCTCCTGTATCATGTCTGCAGTCTCTGACCATCTCCTGTATCATGTCTGCAGTCTCTGACCATCTCCTGTATCATGGCCATAGTCTGTGACCATCTCTTTGTATCATGTCCGTTGTGTGTCTGCAGTCTCTGTTACTAAACATTCATTTAATTTTATGTCCGGCCCTTTGGTTATGTCGGGGGCCACGTTACCACAGCTTTCTGTTTTCAGGAAGCTCCGTACAACACCCTGTGGGCCCCTCCCACCAGCCATGATCTACCTGCACTGCATAGAGAAGTTGGGCGACCCAGCAATGATGTCACCGGGTATAAAATAAAGTGTGTCAAGAAAACAGGTCTTTTTAATCCTTTAATTTGTATGTTGATGAGATGGAGGAACCAAGAAAGGCAAAATCTAAGCGGATTGTTTCATTTTTTGCTGTGTCATTGACTTTATTCCTGTTTCCAGGCTCCTGGGGTGGACTTTGTCTTGCGCTCAGTTCCATCGTTTGGTTCTTGATGTGATTTTGAGGCTCTGCAGGGATGTTCTCATTATGGAATGCACTCCTGGCCGTGCCCATCCTCCTTCACCGTGCTAAATTCCAACCAGCTTCATTACATTACCACGTCACTCTCCATCAGTGCCAGATTCTCCCTCCCCGCAGAACGGCACGTCCAGCTTTTAGTGCCGCTGTCATCGCCACCCGACTCCATTCCCGGTTTATGGAACCGCGCCGCTCTCACCTGCGGCCTTCTGATCGCTCTCCCTGAATTTGATGACTTTCACTTTTTCTCCTCTTTGTTTTGTAGGTCGAGTAAAAGTCATTTCATTTCTGCACTTTGAAAAACAATGCAAAAAAACGAACCGAAAGGTCTGCTCCGTGCGGATCGTTCCAGAACGCACTGAAGAAATAACAATGTATCACAATTATATGCCAACTTCCGCACATGCAGTGACGCCGATGCCCTGATTTTTCTAGAATGTCATTTTCATAAAGTTGCATCTTCATATCGCTCCAGCGTGTTGACCCTCGAAAGGCTGCCGTGCCTCGCAAATGTTTGCATTACACACGGTTGCGCACGGCCCCATTTCCTCCAGTAGGCTGGGTTTGATCAGACACAACCTGCTGTATCGTTTTTGCTCCGGCTGCCATGTTGGCGATAAAGTTGGAGGGGTTGGTAAAACTGCAGCTCAGCTGCCTATTTTTACTGCTCCCTGGGTGTGAGTATAAATGAGATCTTAGGGCGAATAATGTTATTGCAATGCTACACTAACCTACGGACCCCAACTATGGACCCCTTAAAGTGGCTGTAGAGGCTGAAGGTTTTTTACTTTCTTGCAGCAAAAAAACCTTTGGTCCCCCCAATACTTACCTGAACTCCCTCTCAATCCAGCAATGCGCGCAGGAGCCTCGACTGTCCTGGATCTCTCTCTTCTCATCAGCTGAGACACAGCAGCGGGAGCCATTGGCTCCCACTATTGTCAATCACAGCCAGTGAGCCAATGAGGAAGAGCTGGGGGCGGGGCCGAGCTGCGGCTCTATGTTACATAGTTGGTCTGGTTGAAAAAAGACACAAGTCCGTCTAGTGTCTGTGTGTCTTATGGACACGCAGAGCACGGCTTGGGAGCAAGCACACACCGTCTGGTCAAGGGGCAGCGCCGGCGGGGTACCCAAGAAGAAGAGGATCAGGACTTCTTGACAGTGTTGTGCACAGTGGACACAGGAACAGCTTACCATCTGTGCTAACCCAGCTCCTCCAACCTTTCCATTACCTCCCTACATAACTTTTTCTGCAACTCCCTGTGAGAGAAACTAAGGGGAAAACTATAGAGTGTCGCATGACATCACAACCAAGATGGCACCCAGCTGCAGTCTCAGGACTTTTGGATGCCTTCACAAGGGAACATGTATTGGGCAGCACAGTGGCTACATGGTTATCACTTCCGCCTGGCAGTACTGGAGTCATTGGTTTGAATCCCAACCACGGCACTACCTGCCTGGAGTTTGCATGTTCTCCCTGTGCCTGCGTGGGTTTCCTCTGGGTACTCCGGTTTCCTCCCTCACTCCAAAGACATGCTGGGAGGTGTATTGGCTCCTGTCTAAATTGTCTCTAGTATGTGTATGTATGAATGTGAGTTAGGGACCTTAGATTGTACGCCCCTTGAGGGTTAGGGACCTTAGATTGTACACCCCTTGAGGGTTAGGGACCTTAGATTGTATACCTTTTGATGGTTAGGGACCTTAGACTGTACGCCCCTTGAGGGTTAGGGACCTTAGATTGTACGCCCCTTGAGGGTTAGGGACTGATGTGAATGTACAATATATATGTAAAGCACTGCGTAAATTGACGGCGCTATATAATTACCTAAAATAAATAAATAATAATGTTACTAAACAACAATATTCCATTGACAAGCTAATTACCTGCCAAAGTACGTTACTTACCTCCTAGAATGCCCTTGCGGATTGCAATATGTAAAGTGCTGCGTAAATTGATGGCGCTATATAAGTACCTGTAATTAATAAAATAAATGTATCAAATAAGTCAAATACACATATAATCTTATGGGAAGATTTTCGTTACAATGAATAGTCTGACAACAGGATCTCCCCAGTACCGGAGGGATCCACTGGGGGCCAATAATGATTTTATTATTTGTACAATGCCCTTGTAGGAATTAGGCTTTGAATGGAAAGCAGTTGTGGGAGCTTTACTAAGGGGGGGCAGGGGGTGATGGGGAGGACCTCAGCTCAAAGAAGTGTATCTAAACCCCAAACCATAAATGTAGTATGTTGCATCTTACCTGTCCTTAGATGTGGTGGCTGTCTTAGTTTTCTTTTTTTTTTCAGGCCCTTTATTTTCACCTGGTGATCCTGCCAGGAAGGCTTGCAGTGTACACCTGTGTGAGGGCAGTGTTTGCCCGAATGGGGATGCTCAGGTTTTCCATGCATCCCCCATGCAGGCGGTCCGGTTGTGCAATCGCGGCGTCACAATTAACATCAGACGCACACACTGCTCCTAATCTGACCGCTGTATGAGTGTGGGGGCATGGCACTGAACACAGCCAGCGCCCCCCCATCCCAGGGTGACAACGCTTGGTCTGTTATCCTAGAAGCTTTGTCACCCTAGGACAGGTAGTGTGTTAGGACTACAGAATTCATCTGCAAAACATCGGGGGAGGTGTTCTGTAGTTCAGAGGTGAATCTGCAAGGGTCGATAATGCTGCCTGGGGGAACACTGGATTTCTGATGGGATCAACAGTCCCCCCCCCCCCCCCACCAGATCTAACAAATGTATTACTGGTTCCTCAACACTGATAAATGAAGGATACCTTGCTGGAGGGTTCTTGTTATTGGGCTGCAGGACCTATTTGCTCTCATTGCTGTGACAGATGTACTAGAAGTATAGATAGTAAAGTGGAACTGTGGGCAAAACTTTTTTTCATTTTGGATGGAGTAAGGGAGGGTTATAACCAGGAATACCCAATCACATGCAAGGAGAAAAAACAAAAAAAAAAAAACCCCACCATGTTTGCTTGCACCTGATTGAATGATGGAAGTCAGACTGAGTTTTACCTCATTTACTAAGCTCTTGTAATGTGCACAGTCTATATATATGCCTTTAGTAAATCAACCCCACAGATGGCAAAAAAAAAAAAAAAAAAAAAGCCTGACAGAGGAGAGCCGGGGCCCGGTGCACTTTGAAAATGTTATTAAACGCTGCGATCTGCGGCGGCTGGAGGCGCTTCGCTATCCTACTATATCTATGACACGGCCATCTGTTTCCAGCCCCACGCGGCGTTCAATCTCTAGGCTGTAACACCTCATTAAAGTAGTGCCAATCTATGCTCAGCTCAAAGGGAACATCTCATCTGCTGCAGGAGTCTGCACAGAGCTTGAGCTACAGCTTCAGACATCCCCCGTTCTGAGCTCAGGTTTGCTGCTGGAAGCTTTTCTCGCATAGTAATAACCAGGGGCGGACTGACAACTCATGGGGCCCCTGTGTCCTTGCCCACACTCAAAGCACACCCAAAAAAGCCTATAAAAGGTACCAGGGGCATTTCATGGGGCCCCCTACTGACCCTGGGCCCTCGGGCAGTGCCGCGTCACGGCGGTCACATGACCCTAATCCCCGCCTCCCGACTTCTGGAACCCTTAAAGGGCCAGGAGGCGCCGTCATGAAGGGGTTAAATGTATAAGTATGTTACCCAATCGATGCGTCCATTACAAGTTGCTCTTTTACTGATGTCCATTTCTCTTCCTGTGTACAGGAGGGCCAATCAGAGTGCAGCTGCCAGAGACCCTGACACTTGAAGACGTGGTGCATAAAAACCCGCACGTGACCAAAGGAGGGCGCTACAAGCCTCCGGACTGCGAGGCCAACCATAAGACGGCCGTCATCATCCCTCACCGGAACAGGGAGCAGCACCTTAAATACCTTTTATATCATCTTCACCCCTTCCTGCAGCGGCAGCAGCTCAACTACGGCATATACATCATCCATCAGGTGAGTCCAGACCGTCCTGGGAGAAGGGGGGGGTCCCTACTCAGGGGTCTCTGGGTATTAAAAAAAAAAAAAAACTGCTTCGTTCATACTATTCCCTGCTGGACTACTGACACCTCCTACTCCCCTACAGGCACCTCCTACTCCCCTACAGGCACCTCCTACTCCCCTACAGGCACCACAGACACCTCCTACTCCCATACTGGACTACAGACACCTCCTACTCCCCTACTGGACTACAGACACCTCCTACTCCCCTACTAGACTACAGACACCTCCTACTCCCCTACTGGACTACAGACACCTCCTACTCCCCTACTGGACTACAGACACCTCCTACTCCCCTACTGGACTACAGACACCTCCTAATCCCCTACTGGACTACAGACACCTCCTACTCCCCTACTGGACTACAGACACCTCCTACTCCCCTACTGGACTACAGACATCTCCTACTCCCCTACTGGACTACAGACATCTCCTACTCCCATACTGGACTACAGACATCTCCTACTCCCATACTGGACTACAGACACCGCCTACTCCCATACTGGACTACAGACACCGCCTACTCCCATACTGGACTACAGACACCGCGCCTACTCCCATACTGGACTACAGACATCTCCGCTCCCATACTGGACTACAGACACCGCCTGCTCCCATACTGGACTACAGACACCTCCTGACTCCCATACTGGACTACAGACACCGCCTCCTGCTCCCATACTGGACTACAGACACCTCCTGCTCCCATACTGGACTACAGACACCTCCTGCTCCCATACTGGACTACAGACACCTCCTGCTCCCATACTGGACTACAGACATCTCCTGCTCCCATACTGGACTACAGACATCTCCTGCTCCCATACTGGACTACAGACATCTCCTGCTCCCATACTGGACTACAGACATCTCCTGCTCCCATACTGGACTACAGACATCTCCTGCTCCCATACTGGACTACAGACATCTCCTGCTCCCATACTGGACTACAGACATCTCCTGCTCCCATACTGGACTACAGACATCTCCTGCTCCCATACTGGACTACAGACATCTCCTGCTCCCATACTGGACTACAGACATCTCCTGCTCCCCATACTGGACTACAGACATCTCCTGCTCCCCTACTGGGACTACAGACATCTCCTGCTCCCCTACTGGACTACAGACATCTCCTGCTCCCCTACTGGACTACAGACACCTCCTACTCCCCTACTCGACTACAGACACCTCCTACTCCCCCTACTGGACTACAGACATCTCCTACTCCCCTATTGAAAGCAGGGTGCACCAAGGGAAAAGAATAGGAGCTCACTGGATTTCTGGCAGATCATCCAGCATTTGTCTGTGTTTAGATGTGGGGGGAGTAAGCATGTATTGCAGAGATGTACTGAATGTTTGTTGTTTTGTTTTTGTTTTTGCCTTTCCTTTAATCTGGGTTTTTTGCCTTCTGGGGCAGCCTGTGCTCCTGTTATCTCATTTGTTGTCAGTCAGGTGCATGTCTGGTGTTCTTGTTGTGGGGGGGGGGGGGGGGGGGGGGGGAGGCCTTTTCAGGACTTCTTTTTATCAAGCTGTATCTAAAGAAATAACAAACGAGTTTCCCTTGAAAAGCCTGTTAACTATCAGGGGTTTAGAGATGGCAATTTTTCTGCAAATCCTGAATTCCTGAATTACAGGTTAGCCGGGTTGGCCTCTTGTAGCCTCCATTGTCCTCTTGTAGCCCTCATTGTCCTCTTGTAGCCCTCATTGTCCTCTTGTAGCCCTCATTGTCCTCTTGTAGCCCTCATTGTCCTCTTGTAGCCCTCATTGTCCTCTTGTAGCCCTCCATTGTCCTCTTGTAGCCTCCATTATCCTCATGTGCCTCCATTGTTCTCTTGGTATCTGTTTATTTTTGGTTTGTTCCATCTACTATATAAATTCCCTTCTTATCTGAGTGTCAGTGGAGGATACCTGATAACCCCACATATAACCCGATACCATGAGAGCAACAAAGAGCCACCAATATAACAGGAAAAAGTGGAAAGTACAACCTGCAGCATCAACAGATCCAACCAAAATGGCGGCTCTGTGTTCATGTGACGAGTACGGTCATGGAATGGTTTTTGTTACATTTTATTTGGTTGTGATTTCCACTTTTTTCCTGAAATGTGTTTTCATATTTTTTTTTTTAGTATGCAGTATATCTGCTTTATACCTTTGTACCTGGGGTCTGTATCTGATTTTTAGAACTGACAGTTGGGAGGGGGGACAAGAATTGTGATTGGGTACCAGGAAGATGACCTGATGGAGAGAAAGAAGAAAACTTCAGGAGAGGAGAGTTATAGAGGAAGGAGCGGAGTCCTCCAGCAGCGCAGAGTATTTCAGGAGAGGAGGGTTATAGAGGAAGGAGCGGAGTCATCCAGCAGTGCAGAGTATTTCAGGAGAGGAGTTATAGAGGAAGGAGCGGAGTCCTCCAGCAGTGCAGAGTATTTCAGGAGAGGAGGGTTATAGAGGAAGGAGCGGAGTCATCCAGCAGTGCAGAGTATTTCAGGAGAGGAGTTATAGAGGAAGGAGCGGAGTCCTCCAGCAGTGCAGAGTATTTCAGGAGAGGAGTTATAGAGGAAGGAGCGGAGTCCTCCGGCAGCGCAGAGTATTTCAGGAGAGGAGAGTTATAGAGGAAGGAGCGGAGTCCTCCAGCAGCGCAGAGTATTTCAGGAGAGGAGTTATAGAGGAAGGAGCGGAGTCCTCCAGCAGCGCAGAGTATTTCAGGAGAGGAGAGTTATAGAGGAAGGAGCGGAGTCCTCGGCAGTGCAGAGTATTTCAGGACAGGAGTTATAGAGGAAGGAGCGGAGTCCTCCAGCAGTGCAGAGTATTTCAGGAGAGGAGAGTTATAGAGGAAGGAGCGGAGTCCTCCGGCAGTGCAGAGTATTTCAGGACAGGAGTTATAGAGGAAGGAGCGGAGTCCTCCAGCAGTGCAGAGTATTTCAGGAGAGGAGAGTTATAGAGGAAGGAGCGGAGTCCTCCAGCAGTGCAGAGTATTTCAGGAGAGGAGAGTTATAGAGGAAGGAGCGGAGTCCTCCAGCAGTGCAGAGTATTTCAGGAGAGGAGAGTTATAGAGGAAGGAGCGGAGTCCTCCAGCAGTGCAGAGTATTTCAGGAGAGGAGTTATAGAGGAAGGAGTCCTCCAGCAGTGCAGAGTATTTCAGGAGAGGAGAGTTATAGAGGAAGGAGCGGAGTCCTCCAGCAGTGCAGAGTATTTCAGGAGAGGAGTTATAGAGGAAGGAGCGGAGTCCTCCGGCAGTGCAGAGTATTTCAGGAGAGGAGAGTTATAGAGGAAGGAGCGGAGTCCTCCAGCAGCGCAGAGTATTTCAGGAGAGGAGAGTTATAGAGGAAGGAGCGGAGTCCTCCAGCAGCGCAGAGTATTTCAGGAGAGGAGAGTTGGCTAGAGGAAGGAGCGGAGTCCTCCAGCAGCGCAGAGTATTTCAGGAGAGGAGAGTTGGCTAGAGGAAGGAGCGGAGTATTTCCTATATTTGCTCTACACGGTAGCTGTTCCCTTGTAGTTGATGTTCTCTCTCTCCTCAGGCCGGGAATGCTACCTTCAACCGCGCAAAATTACTGAATGTTGGTTTTAAAGAAGCCATGAAAGACGAGGACTGGGACTGCTTATTCTTCCATGACGTGGACCTCATCCCCGAGGACGATCGCAATCTGTACACCTGTGACAGGTTCCCCAAGCACGCCTCCATCGCCATGGACAAGTTCGGATACAAGTAAGCTGCTCTTTCTCTGGCTTGGTCATCAATATTCCGTAGAAGCATCATAAATGGTTCACATCTGTCCCAGATGCAGTTTTTTTACATTTCTTGATGTATTGTCTTTTTGGGGTTTTTTTTCCAATGGTTTTCTTGACTTTATGGTTAATGGGAAGGTGTTGTAAAATCCAATTTAAAAGCGAATGCATCTGTGTACAGTTTCCATTTTCTCAGTTGTAACTTCCCTTCACTTCTGGGCAGGGGCGGACTGACCATTTGGAAACTCAGGCACTGCCCGAGGGCCCGGGGTCAGTAGGGGGCCAAATGAGATGCCCCTGGTACCTTTTTCATAGGCGTTTGTGAGTTTGGGCAAGGACACAGGGGCCCCATGATCCCCTATTGGCCGGGGGCCCCATGAGTTGTCAGTCTGCCCCTGCTTCTGGGCTCCTATCATGGCACAGTGCAAGTCCCATCAACCCCAAGAAAGAAGAATGGAGGAAACTTTTTGAAATTATTAAAGCGGCTCTCCAGTCTCCTGTGAAAAAAAAATTAAAGGTCAGTAGCTACAAAAACAGTAGTTGCTAACTTTTGAAAAAGAGCCACTTACCTGCCCCATGATCCAGCGGTCTGCTCACCACAGCAAATTTCACCTGCTGTGTTCTTTCCTCGGCGCCGGCATCTTACAGCCAGGTGCCCTCTTCACAGCCAGGTTGCCCACTGCGGATGCATGAGCCACGCTGCGCATTGTGAATGGTCCCGCAGTCTTCTGTGACCTGTCACGTGTCCCAGAAGACTGCGGGGAGAGAGGGGGAGGATAACTTCCACTTATGATCGCCTAGGTGGTCAGAGTGGAAGTGGGAGCGAGTACCTGTCAAAATCAGGTCCCCACTCCTTTTTCCCTGCTCCTCAAAAGTGCCAATTCTTTGAGAGGAGTGGGGGACAAGTCCTTAAAGTGGAATTTCTTCTGGGTTGAGCTTCACTTTAACCTCTTCATGCCGGGCGAACGCAAATGTATGGCCTCCCGGCGTCTGGGCCTAGATGCCGAGCAGCCGCACGTTTTTGCGTTCTTTTAAAAAAGGACATATGCGCCGAGAGCGCTCCCAGCACACATGTCCGGTACTCACAGACAGGTCCCAATCTCCTCTTTCGTTCAGGATCTTTCCCGATCATGTGACCACCGTGACATCATGTCACGGCGGTCACATGACTCTAAACTCCGCCCCGCCTCCCGGCTTCTGAAACCCTTAAAAGGCTGGGAGGCGCCGGCATGAAGGAGTTAAAGTGCCACATCCAGATTTTTTTTCTTACTACATTGCTTCCATATAGGAAAAGAGTGGCCATCTTTGTCTTCTCCTCTGTGCAGCGCTGTTCCTGATTTCCTCTTCAGTCCAGTGTTGGCAGTCCTCTTCCTGTAGAACCACAGACCTGTCCTCTTATCTCCTTTGAGCCCAGCCTGTCATTTATACACCCCCTAGGGGTCATGCCATCATGCAGGCTGGGCTCACAGTCCTCCCAGACTATAGCTAGCCATACAGAGTTAGATTTTTTTCCATTCATCCTACAGAGTCTAGCAGATTCCTCCATCCACACTATACGGAGTGGTTGGATGGATCTCCCACTGTGACTATTGTATTCCATCAGCCAGCTCCAGTTTTCCATCTGGTTCCTTCAATCTTCCAGCCAGGATGGTGGTAACATGGCCAACTATGGAGCAGATTTCATCAGCAGTCGGCCAAAATTCGAATAGCGTATGGTCAGCTGAAGCGGTGCTCAGTCATGGAAGAATGCCTGTCCACAGCCACTGCCGGAGGCAGTTAGTGACACCACCGAACCAGCTACAAAACTGCTTGAGGGAGGGGGGGCGCTACCTCAAGGGGTTGGGGGAGGTTGACTCAGGTGTTAACAAGGTCCTGCTTTAAATTTACTGCATAATAAAGCAAAGGAAACCTCAATTATTCATAAGCATCTCTGGAAGGAAGCTACATTTTTTTTTACAACCATTCCTGTTCTCCCCGCCGTGTTGGCCTCAGGCTTGTTTACTACCAGAAGTTACTAAGTAACTACGTAAGTTGTTTTATTGTTATCCTTTCTGAACACCCTTGGGTGCCCCAGGCTACCTGCAGTGGCAGATCACATGCTAAAGCCGGCCATAGATGGTTCCAATCTCAGCTGGTTCCAGCCATGTATGGGCAGGCTGGTTGTACCCAAGTCGATACATCAATCAACTTGGGTAAAACCAGCATGTCGGATTGTTAGCATGCGATTATTGGCAGTGGCTTTAGCTGCTAGCAATAATCACTGTGTTCTCCCAGCAGAGAGACGGCTCCCTGCGCCGCCCCCCCACAGCGGAGCCTTCTACACCTGCCAGGAGAACGCAATAGCTCCATGGGAGGGATTCCCCCATTAACACGGACTGTGTTGATGAGGCAGTTGACTCCTAGTTGCAGGAAAGAAAAATCGCATCGCCTATGACCTGCCTTAGTAACTGATTGCCTTCTTTACAGCTGTGAGGGCTCAGTCCCCTTCAAGTATCTGCGGATGTGTTAAGCAGCCCATAGATTAGACAATTTCCTTTCACCATGGGTGGAAGGAAAGAAAATTGCTCGATTCCACTGACTGTGTTGATGGGGGGATTCCCTCCCGCAGTGCTATTGTGTTCTGCCAGCAAGGAGCTTTTCCTTCTGGCAGAACACAATGATAACTGCTTGCAGCTATAGCCAACAGCAGTGATTGCATGAAAACATGCTGGTTGTACCCAAGTTGATTGATGGATTGACTTCAGTACAGCTAACCTGACCGTAGATGGATCGAATCTTTGGTCGGTCTCTGCTGAGCCAGCCGAGATTCGATCCATCTATGGATGGCTTTACCTGTCAGAGGGTTACTTGTGATTCCAAATTTTACAAAGCCCACTGGACTTCGCTGAGCATCTGAGACATTGGTGACCTTAGGGGGCACTTACAACCCTCAAATGTCCCAAGGATTGTAAAACTAGAGGGCTTCTACTCTGGAGCTGCTGCTCTGCAGCTTTTCTAGATTCAGGAGCTGAAAATAGCTGATGAACAGGAGAGATACATATATTTTATGACCAAAAGTATGTGAACCCGCTGTAAATGAGTTCAGGTGTTTCCATTGAAAAGGGGGCTACAACCTATAAAGACATTTTTGACCAATGTGCCCGTCCAGCCTTGTGGTAACCGTTTGGTGAAGACCCTTTTCTGTTCCACCGTGACTGCGCCTTCTGTGACAAAGCCACCTCCATAAAGACATGAACGGGGGGTGATTTACTGAAGCTGGAAAGTGCAAAATCTGGTGCAGCTCTGCATAAAAAAAACAATCGGCTTCCAGTTTAGTTTTTGTCAAGGCTTAATTGAACAAGTTAGAAGCCAATTGGCTACCATGTATAGCTGCACCAGATACTGAATGTTCTAGTTTTAGTAAATCTCCTTCATGGTTTGACCGGTCTGGTGTGGAGTGTCCCGCACAGAGCCCCGACCTCAACCCTACTGAACACCTTTGGGATGAATTGAAACTCATGGCGAGCAAGGTCTTCTCATCCAACATCAGTACCTCACCTCACAAATGGGCACAAATTCCCACAGACACCCTCCAAAATTTTGTGGAAAGTCTTCCCAGAATAATGAAGGTTGTAGGAGTCGCAAATGTGGGGCAAATCCAAATGAGTTTGGAATAGGATGTCCAACAAGCTCATATAGGTGTGATGGTCAGATGTCCACCAGCTTTTGACCAAATAGTGTAACTAGTATATAGAGAACCTTTTTTTTTTTTTTTTTTTTTTTGAGAAAGAGTTCTCTGCTATAATTCCCAGCTATATACAGTTGTGTTCAAAATAATAGCCGTGTGATGAAAAAAGTGACTAAAGCTGAAAATCCTTCTAATACTTTATTTCCATCCACACAAATGCATTGGGAACACGACACATTCTATTCCAAATCACAACATGAAGAAAAATACATCAAATTTGTGTTGTTCCTCTAAAAAAATTGAAGAAAAAGTGAATATTAGACGGTTCAAAAAAATCACAGTGTTTGTATTCTTCTTTACAAACTCAAACATTCACTATATAAACTGAGAAATGTTTGAAGATTTTGCTTTCCTTTGAATGACTTCATGAATATTTGGTTGTAGTCGCACTGTTTCTGAGAACTGCTGTACATCTGTGTTGCATGGAGTCGCCCAACTTCTGGCCCCTGTGATCAGGTATTCCAGCCCAGGATGATTGGACCACATTCCACAGTTCTTCTCTATTTCTTGGTTTTGCCTCAGAAACGGCATTTTTGATGTCACCCCACAAGTTTTCTATTGGATGAAGATCCGGGGATTGGGCTGGCCACTCCATAATGTCCATCTTGTTGGTCTGGAACCAAGATGTTGCACGTTTACTGGTGTGTTTGGGGTCGTTGTCTTGTTGGAACCCCCATTTCAAGGGCATTTCCTCTTCAGCATAAGGCAGCATGACCTCTTCAAGTATTCTGATGTCTTCAAACTGATCCATGATCCCTGGTATGCGATAAATAGGCCCAACACCGTAGTATGAGAAACATCCCCATATCATGATGCTTGCACCACCATGCTTCACTGTCTTCACAGTGTCCTGTGGCTTGAATTCAGTGTTTGGGGGCCGTCTGACAAACTGTCTCCGCCCACTAGACCCAAAAAAGAACAATCTTACTTTCATCAGTCCACAAAATGTTGCGCCATTTCTCTTTAGGCCAGTCAATGTGCTCTTTGGCAGATTGTAACCTCTTCAGCACATGTCTTTTTCCCAACAGTGGGACTTTGCGGGGACTTCTTGCAGATAGCTTGGCTTCACATAGGCGTCTTCTAATTGTAACAGTCCTCACAGGGAACGTCACACCTTCTTTCATCTTCCTGGAGCTGATTGTTGGCTGAGTCCGCCCCATTTTGGCTATTCTTCTATCCATTCCAATGGTAGTTTTTTGCTTTCTTCCGCGTCTTTCAGGTTTTGGTTGCCATTTTAAAGCATTTGCGATCATTTTAGCTGAGCAGCCGATCATTTTCTGCACTTCTTTATATGTTTTCCCCTCTCCAATCAACTTTTTAATCAAGGTACGCTGTTCTTCTGAACAATGTCTGAAATGACCCATTTTCCTCAGAATTTCAGAGAGAAATGCACTGTAACCAGCATGTCCAACATTTGCTGCCTTCCTTCCTTAAATAAGGGCAATAATTGCCACCTGTTTTCCAAAGAATGAATGACCTCACTAATAGAACTCCACACTGCTATTATTGTGAACACGCCCCTTTCAATGAGTGATTCAATGACACAGAATCAGCAGCATGCATGTCATGACTGTTGGGTCTGTTGGATTTCTATGACTCTACTACACCTGCTAGGAAATTATTTGCCATGTAGAAATATCATTTCCACCAAAAACAGTGATTGATCCGGTTAGTGATGTCTGACGGCTATTATTTTGAACACAACTGTAACTGAAGTTCTTGGCATTTGGGTGCCAAACTTGGGGTCTTCCCGCTCCCCTTGTTTCAGTTCCTGTAATAAATGAAAAATCCTAAAGGAAGCAGCGACCTACTTTGCATTGGCTTCAGTGCCAGGAATTGAAGCCTGGAGACGTCACATTTCCTAGAAGATATAGGTAGCCACAATGTGACCTTCCAGTAGTTGCCTAAAGCTAAAAATACAATCATTTTCTGGTGGAATGAGCCTTTTACTTGACGATAGGTTTCTCCCCTATGAATAGGATGTTTAGCATCTTCTTCATACATCGCACTGAAATTTCAACACACGTTTATGGAAGTAACCTCACTGGACTCCACCTGTGATAATTGCAGGATCATTGATTTTGGGTTTTTTTTTTGATTTTGAGAACTGCTTGGAAAGCCTTTCATGATTCATTTATAATAATCCGCTTCTTCTTTTGGAAGAAAAAGTGGAATCGGTACGAAGATGTGTGTTCAAGGAGGGTCTTAACCACTTGCCGCCCTGTACATATACGGCGGCAGGGCGGCACTCGCAGGCAAAGCCACGTTTTAAAACGTGTGTTTTGTAAACAAATAGGGGGCACGCGCGAGGCACGCCCCGCCCTATCTGTCCCGCGGATCACCGCCGCAGATGTGAGTCGCCGGGTCACAGCCGGTCCTTAGCGGCTATGTCCCGGCGATCGGCGGCAAACAGTGACAGACAGCACAGCTGCAGTAGCTGTGATGTCTGTCACTTCCCTGTCAGCTCGAGGATGAGCTGATCGAGAAAGAACAGTTTCTCTTTCTCGATCAGCCTTGTCCCGTCCAGTACACACCCCGCCCCCTAGTAAAACACTCCCCTCACTCCTATAACCCTTCCCTGCAAAATAAAGTTAACCCCTTCCTCCCCAGTGCCATTAGTACAGTGTCAGTTTTTTTTTTTTTTTGCACTGATCACTGTATTAGTGTTTTTGGGGATGTCAGTGACCCCAAGTCAGTACCCCCCAATGTCAGAATGTCCGCCGCAGTCCCGCCATAAGTCGCTGGTCGCTGCCATAAGTCCCTGATCGCCGCCATAATTCGCTGATCGCCGCCATTATTAGTATAAAAAAAAACTAAAAATCCCAGTATATTTTTCCCGCCATTTGTAAACGCTATAACTTTCACGTAAACCAATTAATTTACACGTATTGGGTTTTTTTTTTAGCAAAGACATGTTGCAGAATGCATTTTGGCAGAAATTTATGACTAAATTTGATTTTTGCATTTTTTTTTTAACTGGACATGTTTTATAGCAAAAAGTCCAAAATATTTTTTTTTCCTCAAAATTGTCAGCCTTTTTTTTTTCATTGCGCAAAAAATAAAAACCGCACAGGCGATCAAATACCACCGAAAGCTCAATTTGTGGGGGAAAAAAAAAAGGATGTAAATTTCATTTATGTATCGTATTGCATGACCGCGCAATTGTCCGTTAAACTAGCGCAGCGCTGTATAGCAGAAAAATGGCGTAAATTGCAGTATCTATACCATAGTTTGTAGACGCTATAACTTCCACACAAAGCAATCAATATACACTTTTTGGGATTTTTTTTACCAAAAACATGGAGCAGAATACATTTTGGCCTAAATTTATAACCAACTTTGAGTTTACTATATATTTTTTATAGCTGAAAATAAAAAATATTGTTTTCCTTCAAAATTTTTGGCCTTTTTTTGTTTATAGCGTGAAAAATAAAAAGCGCACAGATGATCAAATACCACCGAAAGAAAGCTCTATTTGTGTGAAAAAAAGGACATAAATTTTGTTTGGGTGCAGCATTGCATGACCGCGCAATTATCAGTTGAATTAGTGCAGCGCCGGGTCATTAATGGGGGTAAATCCTCTGGAGCTCAAGTGGTTAAAGTGGTAGTAAAGTCGACTTTTTTTCACTTGTACCCAGGGGCGGACTGACCACTCGACCACTCGGGCACTGCCCTGAGGGCCCGGGGTCGGTAGGGGGCCCCCTGAAATGCCCCTTGTACCTTTTTTATAGGCTTTTTTGAGTTTGGGCAAGGACACAGGGGCTCCATAATCCCCTATTGCCCGGGGGCCCCATGAGTTGTCAGTCCGCCCCTGCTTGTCTCTATAGGTAAGTCTACAATAAAGCTGTAAATATCTCCCAAACATACACCGTTTTTTTTTTTTTTGTTTTTTTTTTTTAAACGACTTTTATTGTCAAGACAATGAAAAAGTGGAACAGCGACTACCGAATCTTCAATAATATCACCGAACCAACTGAATTATACATAAATAGAACAATATAATTGTATTTAATTTTCCTGCTAATTTTGTATGGGGGCTCAGGGAGGGGAGTGGCGGGGGGAAGCGGACCTTCCACTTTTCACAGAAGATCCATTTTCAGATTGCATGATGTCACTTTTTTTCTCTCTCTCTTCCAGGTTGCCTTATAAATCCTATTTTGGGGGAGTCTCGGCACTCTCTCCCGAGCAGTACATGAAAATGAATGGCTTTCCCAACAACTACTGGGGCTGGGGTGGTGAGGACGACGACATCGCCATCAGGTGAGTCCCGCACCTTTCACAACACGCACAGCTCGGACGTGGCATTAGCATGTTCTAAGCCAGCCTTTCTCAACCAGGGTGCCCAGTGGGGTGCCTTGAGGTTTCTTCAGGGGGGCCTTTAAATAAATGTCCAAAACTTGTATACAAGCCAGCGGGTAGAAAAAGCTCGCCTTTTAGTCATGCAAACAAAGCCACAGGTTTTCATTACGGGCTCATAGGCACCATTAAGACCTTCTAGCCACAGGTGTCCTGACAGCCAATAACATCATCAGTTGATAAAGAGATTGTCAGCCCACCTGCACAGCTCAGTGATGGAGAAAAACTGAGGGAGAAGAGAAACATCGGAATACTAGTCAGTACCAGTGTGCAGAAGTGTATTTGCTTTGGAAGAATAAACCACCTCTAACATTGGGTGTCCTACATGTGAGATTGTTGCTGCGTTATACAAAACTATTAGAATAGTTTTTCACATTTTAGAATGGGGTGCCTCAGGACTGTCCATAATTTTTAAAGGGTACCTCGGGACTGTCCGTAATTTTAAAGGGTGCCTCGGGACTGTCGGTAATTTTAAAGGGTGCCTCGGGACTGTCCGTCATTTTAAAGGGTGCCTCAAGACTGTCCATAATTTTAAAGGGTGCCTCAAGACTGTCCATAATTTTAAAGGGTGCCTCGGGACTGTCCATAATTTTCAAGGGTGCCTCGGGACTGTCCATAATTTTAAAGGGTGGCCTCGGGACTGTCCATAATTTTAAAGGGTGCCTCGGGACTGTCCATAATTTTAAAGGGTGCCTCGGGACTGTCCATAATTTTCAAGGTGCCTCAAGACTGTCCATAATTTTCAAGGGTGGCTCGGGACTGTCCATAATTTTCAAGGGTGGCTCGGGACTGTCCATAATTTTCAAGGGTGGCTCGGGACTGTCCATAATTTTCAAGGGTTCCTCAAGACTGTCCGTCATTTTAAAGGGTGCCTCGGGACTGTCCGTCATTTTAAAGGGTGCCTCGGGACTGTCCGTCATTTTAAAGGGTGCCTCGGGACTGTCCGTCATTTTAAAGGGTGCCTCGGGACTGTCCGTCATTTTAAAGGGTGCCTCGGGACTGTCCGTCATTTTCAAGGGTGCCTCGGGACTGTCCATAATTTTCAAGGGTGGCTCGGGACTGTCCATAATTTTCAAGGGTGGTTCGGGACTGTCCATAATTTTCAAGGGTGCCGCAAGACTGTCCATAATTTTCAAGGGTGGCTCGGGACTGTCCATAATTTTCAAGGGTGCCTCAGGACTGTCCATAATTTTCAAGGGTGCCTCAAGACACTCCGTCATTTTCAAGGGTGCCTCGGGGACTGTCCATAATTTTCAAGGGTGCCTCAAGACTGTCCATAATTTTCAAGGGTGGCTCGGGACTGTCCATAATTTTCAACGGTGGCTCGGGACTGTCCATAATTTTCAAGGGTGTCTCGGGACTGTCCATAATTTTAAAGGGTGCCTCGGGACTGTCCACAATTTTAAAGGGTGCCTCGGGACTGTCCATAATTTTTCAAGGGTGGCTCGGGACTATCCACAATTTTAAAGGGTGCCTTGACTGAAAAAAGGTTGAGAAACACTGGTCTAGGCTAAGCCCTTTCTGCCGTCATCTCACTATGCCAGGATATGAGGAATTCCTAGGATTGCACAATGAGCTGAACCTTATCTGCAATTTCCAGAGCTTTATCTAAGCACCAGCTCCACCTTGATTACATTTACAGCACAATTTTTATTGTTTCCTCTTAATTTCCTTACACCTGTTTACTTTACACGTCTTTTCCGGCCTGTATTGTGACATCATCAGGTTCTTCAGATACTTGCTGACTGCTGTCATTGATTTCAATAGAAGTGCTGAACAGAAACCTACCTGTAATGTTTTATCACATTGTAGAGGCTGAGTCACTTTCCCGACTTAGTCCTCAGGCACACAAAAACGGCAAAAGCCAAAAACAGCCGCGGAAAAAACTTACAGCGACTGTTTTTGACGTTTTTTTCTACAGCCAGTAAACCACCCCCAGCGTGTTATCCTATGTGTCCGTACACACATAGAATGTAATCAATGTTTTTTGGCTGAAAAAAAAAAAAACAGGACTAGCAGTTTTCTAGAGGAGTTTTGTTAGCTGTAAAAACGCTCCAACGCTGAAAAATACGGTAAATCGTTGCAAACTGGCGTTCTGAATTTTTTTTTACTTTAAAAAAATTTTTTTTTTTTTTTTTTTTACTAAAAATAAAAACGTGAATAACCAGCCCTAAACCCTAATACAAAAAACACCAAAAAATGCTGAAAACACCATTTTTAATGTGAATTTACACAACTAATGTTGCCAGCGTTATTAAAACGCCCCGCTTGCATGGAACCTTAAAGTATAGAAATGCACCGATATGTTGTGATAGGTACCTTGTTGTACTACCTTGAGCCGGGGTATGCCCACAGGCTCTGTTTTTGTATTTCTTTCTTTTTATTGAAATAATAATAAAAAAGAAGTTTTTAAATTAAAAAAAAATATAGAAATGCACAACGAGAGCCAAACCAGGTGCTGGAAATTGTTCATTAGTCAATCCGCACCCCAATCATCTACAAAACAAATATGTATGCCCACAGACACTGCTTTGTATTTCTTTCTTTTTATTACATCTAAAAAAATAAAAAATATGAAAATATATAATTTTTAAATTTAAAAAAAAGGTACAGAAATGCACAACGGGGAGCCAAACCATGTGATGAAACCAGGTGCTGGAAATTGTTCATAATATGATGATTTTAGACGGTCAACGCATTTCAGGGGTCAATATGCACCCCATTCACCTATAAAACAAACATAAAAGTAAAAATTAATCTTGCGTCCATATACATAAAATGATGATGCTAGACGGTTAACGCATTTCAGTGGTCAATCCGCACCCCAATCATCTACAAAACAAATATGTATGCCCACAGACACTGCTTTGTATTTCTTTCTTTTTATTGAAAAAATAAGTTTTTAAATTAAAAAAAGGTATAGAAATGCACAACGGGGAGCCAAAGCGTGTGATGAAACCAGGTGCTGTAAATTGTTCATAGTAGGATGATGTTAGACGGTCAACGCATTTCAGGGGTCAATATGCACCCCATTCATCTATAAAACAAATATGTATGCGCACAGGCTCTGTTTTGTATTGCTTTCTTTTTATTGAAATAATAATAAAAAAGAAGTTTTAAATAAAAAAAGTATAGAAATGCACAACGGAGAGCCAAAGCGTGTGATGAAACCAGTGCTGGAAATTGTTCATAGTATGATGATGTTGGACGGTCAACGCATTTCAGGGGTCAATACGCACCCCATTCATCTATAAAACAAATATGTATCACCACAGACACTGCTTTGTATTTATTTCTTTTTATTGAAATAATAATAAAAAAGAAGTTTTTAAATAAAAAAAAAAAAAATGTGGAAATGCACAACGGAGTGCCAAACTATGTGATGAAACCAGGTGCTGTAAATTGTTCGTAATATGATGATGTTAGAAGTCAATGCATTTCAGGGGTCAATATGCACCCCATTCACCTATAAAACAAACATAAAAGTAAAAATTAATCTTGCGTCCATATACATAAAATGATGATGTTAGACGGTCAACGCATTTCAGGGGTCAATACGCTCCCCGTTAATTTATAAAATAAATATGTATGCCCACAGACTCTGCTTTGTATTTCTTTCTTTTTATTGAAATGATAAAAAGAAATTTTAAATTAACAGAGTCTGTGGGAATACATATTTTATTTTATAGATGAATGAGGAGCGTATTGACCCCTGAAATGCGTTGGCCGTCTAACATCATAAAATAAATATGTATACTATGAACAATTTCCAGCACCTGGTTTCATCACATGGTTTGGCTCCCCGTTGTGCATTTTATGTATATGGACGCAAGATTAATTTTTGCTTTTGTTTGTTTTATAGATGAATGGGGTGCATATTGACCCCTGAAATGCGTTGACCGTCCAACATCATCCTACTATGAACAATTTCCAGCACCTGGTTTCATCACATGGTTTGGCTCCCCGTTGTGCATTTCTGTACCTTTTTTTAATTTAAAACATATTTTTTTATTTCAATAAAAAAGAAAGAAATACAAAGCAGTGTCTATGGGCATACATATTTATTTTATAGATGAATGGGGTGCGCATTGACCCCTGAAATGCGACGACCGTCTAACATCATCATACTATGAACAATTTACTTATTTTTTTTATTATTATTTCAATAAAAAGAAAAATACATCACAAAGTATAGAAATGCACAACGGAGAGCCAATTTATGTGATGAAACCAGGTGCTGGAAATTGTTCATAATATGATGATTTTAGATGGTCAATGCATTTCAGGGGTCAATACGCACCCCATACATCTATAAAACAAACATAAAAGTAAAAATTAATCTTGCGTCCATATACATAAAATGATGATGTTAGACGGCCAACGCATTTCAGGGGTCAATACGCTCCTCATTCACCTATAAAATTATTTTATTTATTTTTATTGAAATAATAAAAAAGAAGTTTTTAAATTTTAAAAAAAATACTGTACTGCTAGGGTAACAGTATGTAAAAAAAAAAAAAAAAAAAAACTATAAAAATGTAAAAAAAAAAGTTTTAAAAATTATAATTTTTGGTTCTAAACTAATTTGGGTTATTTTTTTTTTTTACTAATAAGATAACTGAATACATTTTGGCCAAGATTTATGATGAAATATTATTTATTTGCCAAATTTTATAAGGAAAACACTTTTTTTCAAACTTTTTGGACTTTTTCATTTATATAGCAAAGAAAATAAAACTCCCAGTGGTGAAGAAATACCAAAATAAAGTTTTATCTGTCTCAAAAAAATGCTAAAAAATTCATATGGGTACAGCGTTGCATGACTGCACAATTGTCATTTCAGCTGAAAGCTGAAAATTGGCCTGGGGGCAGGAAGGGGGGGAAAGTGTTCGGACTGGAAGTGGTTAAGAAGTGAGTGTCATTTAATGTGTGTATGTATGAATGTGAGCAGGGGCGGACTGACCATTTGGAAACTCGGGCACTGCCCCAAGGGCCTGGGGTCAGAAGGGGGCCCCGTGAGATGCCCCCGGTACCTTTTTCATAGGCTTTTTTTAGTTTGGGCAAGACACAGGGACCCCATGATCCCCTATTGCCCAGGGGCCCCATGAGTTATCAGTCCGCCCCTAAATGTGAGTTAGGGACCTTAGATTGACGCCCTTTGAGGGTTAGGGACCTTAGATTGTACGCCCCTTGAGGGTTAGGGACCTTAGATTGTACGCCCCTTGAGGGTTAGGGACCTTAGATTGTACGCCCTTTGAGGGTTAGGGACCTTAGATTGATGAGGGTTAGGGACCTTAGATTGTACGCCCTTTGAGGGTTAGGGACTTTAGATTGTACGCTCCTCAGGGGCGGGGACTGATGTGAATGTATAATATATATATGTAAAGTGCTGCGTAAATTGACGGCGACATATAAGTACCTGAAATAAATATATAAATGTGGATTTTTTTTTTTTTCTTGGATCTCTCAGAGTTGCACTCAGCGGCCAGTTGATCTCCCGACCATCGATTCGTCATGGAAGGTACAAGATGATAAAACACGGACACGACAAAGGCAACGAGCAAAACCCGAGACGGTAAGAGGCATGGCTGAGCTGGGGGGGGGTGGGTTTCCTGGGTGGTCCGGCGGATCACACTGGTTTTATTTGGCCTCGTACAGATTTTATGTTGCGCAGTTTTGTGCCCAGACTGGTCTCAGGGTCCCGCCTGCTGAAATCACAGCATCGGTCACAGTGACATGTGACCCTCGCAGGTTCTGAGCTGCCAAGTTTGATCACCGCGTCCTCTCAAAGGTCAGCCGGCTACGGAGGCGTCAGCAGCCTTGTTTGCTTAATGTCAGCGACTCCCGGGGCCACATAGCCATTACCGGTCCCAACTAGTTTTCTTGTGGTCACGAGCTCAGAGAATGCGGTTAAGGCCGCGAAGGTGGAAATATGTTAATCTCTTCATCCTCTGCTTGTACCTTGTTATACAATAATCACATGCAAGTCGTCGCAGATCTCACCGGTTGGAGATTTTTCATTTTTTAACTGTTTCCCTCCCCGGCCACCGTACTTATACAGCCGGGCGAGAAATGTGTTGTGTGCGACTGCTGTGTCCAATCAGTGTACTGGGCTGCTGTGCTCCGTCCCGGTACCATGTGATCGCTGTGTCCAATCACAGTGATAGCATGTCCAGTAGCAAATAATGGCTGTCATTCATGAGGCCATTGCTTACCACTGTGATGGGTCACGATGATCTTTTTTTTTTTTTTTCGCCTATATAGCAAAAACAAAAATATCAATGTTGATTAACCCCTTCACGCCTGAGGGTAATACAAATCTTTATCCAGTTGTATCTGACCCTTGGCGACTGCATGGACCGTCACTTGTAAGCGACTTTTTCCATGAATTCTTTTAGCAACTGTTTTTACAGGGTAGGTTGCCAGGTCTTTCCCCAACCCCCACCATGCAGGAGATCACACATTGGCCAGGGATGAAACTAGGACAATTTAGACAGGAGCCAATTAACCGACCAGCATGTCTTTGGAGTGTGGGAGGAAACCGGAGTATCCGGAGGAAACCCACGCGAACACAGGGAGAACATGCAAACTCCATGCAGGAGGCGCCATGGTTCGGAATCGAACCCATGACCCAATTACTGCAAGGCAGAAGTGCTAACCACTATTATTATTATACAGGATTTATATATTATTATTATACAGGATACATATATTATTATATACAGGATTTATATAGCACCAACAGTTTTTTTATCGGTAAAGTTGGAAAAAAATCGTCCGATTTTCCCGGCCACGATGGGCAAATCGGCCGATCGATTTACCGATAAAAAATCTGCGCATGAGCCGTGACCTGCAAGAAGAAGAAAAAGAAGAATTCCAGTCCGCTATTATATTTGACATGAAAAAGTATTGCGGTTGCAACAATGTATCCATTTGTATCCGAATAAAAACATCTGTATCCGAAATGGATACAAATAGATACATTGTTGCAACCGCAATACTTTTTCATGTCAAATATAATAGCGGAGCTCTCTGCAGAGACCGAAGTAATTAAATGTCGGCCGTAGACGGGACGAAAATCAGCCGATTTTTTTTTTTCCTACCGTTGGTGGTAACGTTGGCCTATTGAACGACCGATTTTTTTTTTTTTTTTTTTTTTTTTTTTTTTTTTTTTAACGGCCGGTTTTTGACCCGTCTATGGCCTGCATTACACAACATTCAATGGTTTATTTAACAGAATAAAATGTAACAGATAAAAGCCGACTGTCAGGGTTCAGCTAGAAGTCTGTGATGTTGCGTGGCTACAGTGTATAGATCTGTACCCAGCGTTGTTCTGGGGACAACTGATCACCCGGCTTACTTTCGTAACATAAAAAAATGTTTTTAAAATTTTTAATCTCTAGCACTTCTTCACGCTATTAATGTTTTGGTTCTGTGCCTATAAAAGTAGACTCGGATTATTGTTCTCTACTTAGCCATTTGTCCTGATTACTGAGATGAAATGAGGGATGGTACTTGGTGTCACAATACCGCTCGGCCCTTACAAATATTGAAGTAACGCCGGTGATTTGTTTAATTTCCATACCGTTCCAGGGAACGTAATCCTTTTATGTTTAGGTGTTGAAATCAAATATTTCAAAACTCGTCTGTACATTGTTGTACAACACCGGTCGTGTCACAATTTGTCCTTGTGTAAATGGAAGTTGTTTGGGAGGTGGGTGGTATTCGTAGGGTGGAGGGGGAAGGTTCTATTTTAATCAGTCGTCATCTCTAAGGCCTTGTGTATACAGGGCGGTTTATCCTGCATGCATGAAATCCCAGGGCACAGGTATCGAAACCTAGGACAGGATGAAATATGCCCAGTGATACAGGTAGGACTTGCTGTGCCACTCAAAGCTGTGATAAAGATCTCCCCCCGCCGGTTGCAGTGAAGGGAGCGCCATTCGTGATTGTAGACACATCATCAGAGAAAGGAAGGAGCAACGCTCAGCAACCCAGTGCATAAATAGGTGGATGAATGTGGCCTCAGCCAGTGCTGCTTTAGCAAGGCCTCCCCCTGACATGTTTCGTCCCGCACATCAGGGTGGCAGGGGGCATGGTGGAGTATATTCATGCACTGAGGTGGGTGAACAGTGCTTCTTTTTCTCTCTGAATCTGAAATACACAGCGATTTGATGCTGTGCCAAGTCCTATACACTCAGAATTTCTGTTTTCCAGGCATATGTCCCTCTACGTATAAGTACCCTGTGCTAAACACAAGTACCGCTCACTACAGCGTCATTCATGAATGTAGACACATCATCAAAGAAATTAAGGAGCACCGCTCACCAAACCAGTGCATAAATAGGTGGATAAATGTGGCCTCAGCCAGTGTTTCTCCAGCCAGGCCCCCCCCCCCCCCCCCCCCGACATGTTTCGTCCCGCACATCAGGGCTTGGTCACAGACCAGGGGCACAGCTGGAGTGCATATTCATGCACTGAGGTGGGTGAACGGTGCTTCTTTTTCTCTCTGAATCTGAAATACACAGCGATTTGATGCTGTGCCAAGTCATATACACTCAGAATTTCTGTTTTCCAGGCATATGTCCCTCTACGCATAATTACCCTGTGCTAAACACAAGTACCGCTCACGACAGCGTCCTGCTGCATATTCAGCCTGTTATAGATTTAATTGCCTGCGTGCAGCGGGGCTGGATGTTGCACCTGTGCCTCCTGGGTGCCCAAACATGGCAGGATTTGATACATAAGGGCCAGACTGCCCATAGCCACATGCACACACATAGGGCCACCCCCCACCCCCACTGTCATCAGGGCCCCATGCACACATAGCAGTTTAGAGGCAGAAATCCCCCCCCCCCCCCCCCCCCCCCCCCCCCCCCCCCCCCCCCCCCCCCCCGTCATTATGGCCCCGTGCACACTGGACATTTTTGATGCTGCTGTTAGGAGCATCTGGCGGTTTGTTTTTTCTGCCTTTAAACACCCCTGCATGTTAGCCTATCCATGCACACATGGGAGTTTAGAGGCAAAACAACCCCCCCCCCCCCCCCACTGTCATCGTGACCCCATGCACATGGACATTTTTGACGCTGCTGTTAGGGGCATCTGGTGTCTTTTTCTGCCTCTAAAGACCCCTGCATGTTAGCCTATCCATGCACACATGGGAGTTTAGAGGCAGAAAGGCAGAATCCCCCCCCCCCCCCCCCCCCCCCCCCCCCCCCACACCACCATCTTTCTGCAGGGCCTCCAGCATGAATCGGAGTAATGCTCTGCACCGGCGCTGACCAGCCATCCTGGAAGCCCTGCAGAAAGAAGAGGCAAGCACAGTCTCTCATTGTAATGTGTAGAGAAATAAAGGGGGTACAGTTACTTTTTAGAGGTGGAGGTCCCTGGAGTAGAAATCATCCGTGACTACAGAGGTAGGATGTATAAAAAAAAAAAAAAAAGTTGACCTCTGGAGGGGACAAAAAAAGGTTTTGCACATTCACTATGAATAAATAAATTCTAATGATGTGTGGATGGGTGCTGTATCATTTGGAGCTTTGTTTCACTCATCCCCAGCTGTATACAGAACTCGCACTGCTAAGTTTTACAGTTTCAGCTCTCATACACACGAACTGGTCGCTTGCTCTCCACCTCCTCCATTTATAAAAGCATTTTGTATTCTATTCAGAGTACAAGGCATTCTCTGATTGGATGAGAGGAGATTGTGACTTCAGTATATTCTCCCACCCCCTCATCCATTCACAGAATGTTCTGGGGGGAAAAAAAAACATTTTATGAATGAAGGGAAAGAAGAGTGACCAAATATTATGTACTTTCTGAGAACCAGAACTGTACATCTCAGTGATGGCAGCTCTGTGCTTACTGAGAGGAATGAAATTAGGGGTTTTTAACACAGGCCTTACAAAATCAGAAGGAAATTTGTTGTTGGATGGCAAATGTGCAAAAAAAAATATATTTGTTTTTCCTGGTGTTCATCTCTTAGTTTGATCATACGTGTGGCTTTACTGTGTACTTCCCTATCTCCTAGATTGTAAGCTCCTAGGATCAGGCCCTCCTATCCCTCTTGTATTGAACTGTATTGTTGCTGTATTGTCTCCCATTATATTGTAAAGCGCTGAGCAAACTGTTGGCGCCATAAATCCTGTATAATAATATATAAATCCTGTATTATTAGAATAATAATATATAAATCCTGTATAATAATAATAATAATATATAAATCCTGTATAATAATAATAATATATAAATCCTGTATAATAATAATATATAAATCCTGTATAATAATAATATATAAATCCTGTATAATAATAATATATAAATCCTGTATAATAATAATGTATAAATCCTGTATAATAATAATAATATATAAATCCTGAATAATAATAATAATAATATATAAATCCTGAATAATAATAATAATGTTCATCCCAGTCACCCGATCCTGCAGCTCCGGTTCCCCTCTATTGGTGGCTAGCTGCAAGGGGGAGGAGGGAGCACTGACAACGGCTGATCTTACCGGTGATCTCACCACTCCCAGAACACTCAGCCATTGCCAAATGCTCACTCCTCTCCCCTGCGGCTGGGGATCACGTGCCCAGACTGGAGCGGGCTGCAAAAGTAAGTATACAGATATTCGTTTTTTTTTACATAGGGGTAGACAGGATAGGTAGCAGGAGGGCGGAGTGAACATTTTGAAGAATAGTTCTGGTTGGACGGGAATTCCCCCAGCATTGCCATTCACCTTCTGACATTTATGCCTTGTTATCTCATCACAGGTTCAACTTGTTGGCCAAAACGCGTCGGACATGGAGACAAGACGGCATGAACGCTCTCCAGTACAACCTGTTCTCCAAGGAGCTGCCTCCTTTGTACACCAATATCACAGTAGACATTGGCTCTGAGAAAGGGTTCCATCCCATGACGTGAGATCGGACCTCCCACCCGCCCAACCAGATGTGCCGTATTTTCCCCATCCAAGACGATGAGCAGGGACTCAACATGTGGACTATAAAATGCAATATATATGTATATATTTTTTTTTTTTTTTCTTTCTACACTTCTCTTTATGAAGATTAATGAAAAATCGTAAACCAAAGATGGGATACAAGTGTTGCCGGCTCAACGTGTTGCTCTATCTCCCCCGTGACGTCTCCCGATCGCCCAGAGTTTGGATTTTAATTCTATACAATGCATCCCCTCCCCCCTCCGGGTTGGGTCACGCAATAGAACAGACTTGTGCACATCGCTTTGCAAAAGCATCTCTGGAGCGCTGTGATTTTTTTTTTTTTTTTTCCCACAGCGGGGTTTGTTTTTCTGTCACCTTTTTTTTTTTAAGTGCAATTTCTTTAAATTTTGAATTCTTTAAAGTTTTTCACAATCGGACAAATTTCAGAGGGCTGCTTGTACGGATTTCATTCCTAGTGGACTGAACACTTAAACTTGGACTTCAGAAAGAAAAAAAAATTCTAATGGTCTGTCATTTTAACTTTTCCGTACGTTTTGTTCAATTCCTCTAAATTCCTTTTTTTGTTTTTTTTTTCCAACCTACATTTTTCCTTCATGAAGGACACTTTGTTGTTTGCCGCACATTAAGTTATCCGAACATAGAAGGTATCACACAGACACTTGAATGCAATGGATCAACAACCAGTATTAACTTTCTATCCAAAGTGCCTTTAAATGCCAATCTGATGTGTGAGGCGTGTCTTTTTTTTTTTAAGAAAATATAAAATAAAGATTTAAAAAAAAACACAAAAAAAAAACCACACAGGGACTATGGAAATCAAATGCTGAATGACTTTGCTGGAACGGAGTTGACAATGTGGTCTTACTTCGCTCTTATTCATATGTGAACATTTCAAGCATTTCTGAAATAAAGGAATCTATACGTTGGAATGTAGCAGGGGGGATATGTCATTTTGTATTTTTTTTTTACCAGAATGCAAAAAAAAAAAAAGTTATATATGATTTTGCATGTGCAACATTGCTGAACCATTAAAGCCTAACTCCAGCTTTCATTTAAAGCTGAATTCTAAGAATTTAATATCTTTGCAAAAAGTGCATTTATAAAATACAAAGGCTTCTGTGAATGGGCAGAAGAGGCGCTCCAGAAAGAAAGATAATGTCTGGAGCTCTGATGCTGCTCACTGTGGGTCTGTGTTCCATCAAGAGCAGAGTCACTGAAACTGCTATTCCCGCCCCTCTCCTCTGCTGCCTTTGCATTATGTGACCTCATTTACAAAATACAAAGGCTTCTGTGAATGGGCAGCGGAGGTGAGGGCATAGCTGGTCAATGTGCACCTCTCCTCTCTGACAGCCTTGAGTGCCCTGTATGAGTGCAATTACCCTGTCACATATAGGTAAAGGAGATCGGTCCCGAAGGTGACATGCACCTAATTGGACTTACCTCGTAGGGGTTTATTTACTAAAGCTGGTTCACGCAGAATCTGGTGCAGTCGTGTACGGCAGCCAATCAGCTTCTAACTTCAGCATGCTCAATTAAGCTTTAGCAATAAAATCTGAAAGCCGATTGGTTTCTATGCAGAAGTGCGCCAGATTCTGAGTGAACCAGCTTTAGTAAATAAACCCCTATGAGTTAAGTCCTATTAGGTGCATGTCACCTTCGGGACCTATCTCCTTTACCTATATGTGACAGGTTTATTGCACTCACACAGGACACTCAAGGCTGTTAGAGTCAAGAGGCGCACACTGACCAGCTATGCCCTCCCCTCTTCTGCCTATTCACAGAAGCCTTTGTATTTTGTAAATGAGGTCACATAATACAAAGGCTTCTGTGAATAGGCAGCAGAGGAGAGGGGCGGGCATAGCAGTTCCAGTGACTCTGTTCTTGCTGGAACCGAGCGTCAGAGCTCCAGACATTATCTTTCTTGAGCAAAACAAAGCTGTTTCACCTCCTCCCACCCGCCACATAAGGAAATGACTGACAGGCGGTGGTTATCTTGTTCTGGGAGGACTCTAACCGCGCGTGCGCGCCAATCAGTGGTGCGCTGTGTCCCCATCACCGATTGGCGGAAAGAGCCAATGAAGTCAGCTCTGTCATGTGATCAGCTGTGTCCAATCACAGCTGATCACATGTAAATAAGGAAATGCTGATTATCAGTATTCCTCTCCTCACGAGCTGTCACGCTGACAGAGGAGAGCCCAGTAATTGGCATTCCTCAGAGGGGACATGTACACAGATCATCAGGGCACAATACATGACTGCGCAATTGTCATTTAAACTGCGACAGGACAGCGCTGAAAGCTGAAAATTAGCCTGGGCAGGAAGGGGGGTGAAAGTGCCCGGTAGGCGAGGGGTTAAGGAGATTGCGTTTACAAGGCAGCAGGCACCTCACTAGACTTAATTCACGGTGGGCATGCCTGCGGTTTTTTACAAAGTAGCTGAATTCCTGCAATTCAGCCTGAACTTTAAATCGTTCATTTGGACCATATAAACAAACTATTTTTGTTCCTAACACATGCGCCTGATGTCAGTGCTGTGGAAACTGTATGCAGCTACATCCAGTATACAGCGGTGTTCCAGCAGCTGTACCCAGTCAAGTTGGGCCGATGCGCACGGCTCATCCCAGGATGGTTTGTATTTTTGGGGCGAGTGACATGATCTTCGCCTCAGCCAATCAGAGGAAGCCTTGTATTTATTCATAGAATATAAAGCTTCCTGTTAATTGCTGAAAAGTCTGACTCGATTTTGTTGCGGGACTGAGACAGGAACCCACAGTGCTGTATATTCCAGGGAGCCAGGTGTGCTGCATACAGCTCGCTATTTAGGGGGGTGCACTCTTGCATATTTTATTTATTTTAGCTACTTACATTGCACCATCACTTTACATATTGCAATCCGCAAGGGCATTCTAGGAGGTAAGTAATGTGTACTTTGGCAGGTAATTAGCTTGTCAATGGAATATTGTTGTTTAGTAACATTATTATTTATTTCAGGTACTTATATATCGCCGTCAATGTACACAGCGCTTTACATATATATTGTACATTCACATCAGTCCCTAACCCTCAAGGGTGTACAATCTAAGGTCCCTAACTCACATTCATACATACACATACTAGGGACAATTTAGACAGGAGCCAATTCACCTACCAGCATGTCTTTGGAGTGTGGGAGGAAACCCACGCAGACACAGGGAGAACATGCAAACTCCAGGCAGGTGCTGCCGTGGTTGGGGTTCGAACCAACGACCCCAGTACTGCCAGGCAGACGTGCTAACCATTTAGCCACTGTGCTGCCCATATACTGTATGTAGCTCATACTATATCCAGTTTACACAGCAGACACAAGACGGAAATAGTTCGTTTGGACCAAACGAACCACTTAAAGCTAAATGAAGGCTAGAGTTATGCTTTAAGATCTAGGTCTTTTCAGCCAGTCCTGGCATTGGTGGGGGGGGGGGGGGGGGGGGGCGCAGAGGACTTAACCTTACATAACTGTATTCTGTCTCATGCTCAGGGGCACATGAAAGCCATACAGTGTACATTACAGGTAATTTTCGGTGCCTGAGAAATGCAGCCACAGGAGTAATGAATTTCTAAACACCGTTCTTGCGTACATCCCTGAACATGGCTTGTGCGTGTTCCAAGATTCACGCCCATATGTGAGTTTATGCATGTACAGCCATTCATTATTATGGGTGGCGGGTAGGCTTCAGCTCCCACCAAATTACACCCACAAATTACATTTCCTGGCCTCAGGCACCCATGTTCATGGAGCATTAACCCGTATGACTAGTACAGACAGACCAATTCAAGAAAAAAAGAAAACAATAGTTTGGAGTCTTCAATCCCCATGAACTAATTCAAATACACATGACAAGAGACCTGGTGATACGAATGTGACCAGGAAGAGGCTTCTTGCAAGGGAACACAATTTATAAATCAAGGTAATTATGCATAACAATCCTCCAACCAACATGAGGCATGAACATAAAATGCAAAGTATCCCACCATAATAAAATAGGGCGCCAATCTAAAGTATCCCTCTAGAACACGGGGTGTCAAACTGGTGGCCCTCCAGATATTGCCAAACTACAAGTCCCATGAGGCATTGCAAGATTGGCAGTTACAAGAGTGATTCCCAAAGGCAGAAGCATGATGGGAAACTACAAGTCCCATGAGGCGTCGCAAGATTGGGAGTCACGCTTGTAACGGTGAAAGGCAGAGGCATGATGGGAAACTACAAGTCCCATAAGGCGTCGCAAGATTGACCGTTACAAGCGTGATTCCCAGAGGCATGATGGGAAACTACAAGTCCCATGAGGCGTCACAGGATTGACAGTTCCAAGCGTGACTCCCAAAGGCAGAGGCGTGATGGGAAACTACAAGTCCCATGAGGCGTCGCAAGATTGACCGTTTACACGCGCGACTCCCAAAGGCAGAGGCATGATGGGAAACTACAAGTCCCATGAGGCGTCGCAAGATTGACCGTTACACGCGCGACTCCCAAAGGCAGAGGCATGATGGGAAACTACAAGTCCCATGAGGCGTCGCAAGATTGACAGTTACACGCGTGACTCCCAAAGGCAGAGGCATGATGGGAAACTACAAGTCCCATGAGGCGTCGCAAGATTGACCGTTACAAGCGTGACTCCCAAAGGCAGGGGCATGATGGGAAACTACAAGTCCCATGAGGCGTCGCAAGATTGACAGTTACAAGCGCGACTCCCAAAGGCAGAGGCATGATGGGAAACTACAAGTCCCATGAGGCGTCGCAAGATTGACCGTTATAAGCATGACTCCCAATCTTGCGACGCCTCATGGGACTTGTAGTTTCCCATCATGCCTCTGCCTTTGGGAGTCACGCTTGTAACGGTGAAAGGCAGAGGCATCATGGGAAACTACACGTCCTATGAGGCGTCGCAAGATTGACAGTTACAAGCGTGACTCACAAAGGCAGAGGC